CCAGGGACAGGACAAAAGGGAACAGGGCAGAATTTGCTCTACTAGGCACTGTTTAATGCACCCCATTAGAGTTCTGGCTGGCCTCAATTCAATACTCCAACCACTTCTGTCACTTTCCCAATAAAAAGGTTTTATTTTGCCCCAGCGTACAACTTTCTAACTAAATGTGACATCTTGACTCTATGCCTAATATATAACTAGAAAAACACCCCTATATTTCAGTGGATACTGGCATCAACAAATCAAACTCATAGCAGGTATAAAGTACCTGAGTGCCGTATTTAATTATAAGACCTATTTCCATTCTTTTTAGGGTAAGCTAACTCACATCATTATTTATTTACAGCAGAGGGTAAGAAAAAAAGTCTGCATTCTTTGTCCTTGTTAGAATATTTATCTTCACCTTGTAATTATCCCAGGATTGTCCGTTATGCATATAAAACTCAAAACTCAGTGAAATCACATGGGTGTTGCTGAGAAAATGGGCAGACATCATAGAAGTTGCGACCTAAAATGCTACTAAAAATAGGTCAACTAGCTGTACTGAACGGAATACAACTTCACTGACACAGAGGTGAGACAAGGTGACCTGATTATGTGTTGTTAATTTCTTATTCCTGTCACACAACAGTACAATCAAGATTCTTGTCAACCTGCCCAGTACTAGTGGAAATTAGCATTACATTTCTCATAAAACTGAGAGCAACAACACGCTCAAAGAAAAATCTAGTGTCACCAAATAATACAATGTTATTTAATGTTTGCTGTTAGATACTAATGAACCCTTGACTGCTCTTCAACTGAGCTGAACTGGCTGGGAGACCAGAATCTGGCCTCTGAGACCTGATGCCTTGGTAGACCTGCAGTACAGTGCTCCAGCAGTATTGCCCTGCATGGCACAAGGGCATCCTTTAGCCAATATGCCTAGCATTTCCATGGTATCCTGACAATTTTTGAGAGGAAAAGACTATTGACTGAAACACTGTCTGAACAGGTAAGCTTTTTAATGAAAGTGATCAATATTAAATACAAGAAGGTTTTATTTACATTTAACATAAAGCATGTCATGGTTTAATCTCGGTAGGCAGTTAAGCACCACACCCCAGTGAGATGGCAGGGAGAACTGGAAAAGCAAAAGTGAGAACACTCATGGGTTGAAATAAAGACAGTTTAATAGGTAAAGTAAAAATCACAAGTGTAAGCAAAGCAAACCAAGGAATTAATTCACTACTTCCCATTGGCAGGCATGTTTAGCTCTCTCCAGGAAATCAGGGCTCCATCGTGCCTAGCAGTGGCTCATGCCCCCTTGGGAAGACAACCACCATCATTCCTAATTCCCCCCCCCCCCTTTCTTTTTCTTCCCCCAGCTCTATATTCTGAGCATGATGCCATACGGTCTGGAATATCCGTTTGGTCAGTCAGTGTCAGCTGTCGTGGCTGTGTCCTCTCCCAGCTTCTCATGCACCCCAAGCCTATTTGCTGGTGGGGTGGGAGGCAGAACCGGCCTTGATGCTGTGTAAGCACTGCTCAGCCATAACAAAAACATCCCTGTGTGATCAATGCTGCTTCCAGCACAAGTCCAAAACATAGCCCCATGCTACTATGAAGAGAATTTATTCCACCCAGCCAAAACCAGCACAGATGTCTAGAATAAATGCAGCAAAAACCAAACAACCAAACAAACAAAGCCAACAAAAAAACCTCATTGTCAGTTCTCAAGTCAGAAGTTGTATTTATGATTATCTAGTCTGGCCTTTGCAACAGGGCAGAGATATTCTGCGAATTTCTACATCAAGCCCATAACTTCTGTCTGAGCAGACCACTTGAGAAATATTTTGACTGGAATAAAAGGACCTTAATGGAAGGAGGCTGCCTACCGACTATATCCTTGGGAAAATTATTTGTATTGTTACCGTTTTTATTGTACATTATTCCCAGTTAAAATATGCCTAACTTCATGCTCATGCCACTGAAACATTTAGCAGCTACAAAGTTTGTAAGTAAATGAATTTCCAGAACACTAAGGGATACAAGCTTACATACTGTTATCAACGTTTTTAAGATGAAAACATGATAAAAAAAGATGTAAAATTGACAAAAGATATGTAGTTTAAAGCACCTCTGTTTCCTCTTACTAAACTGCACTCTATTAATTAAACATACAGGTTACAGAAAGTTTCAGTCTAGAATACATTCAGCACTTAGGTCCTGATTTGTAACTCAATGCAGGATAACAGAAATTACAGCAACCTGCACAGTCTAGAGAATACTGTCAGGAACATGGCAAAATCTGATCATTGCCAGCAGCTTGTCTTGGGCTGGCAGCGCTTTGCTTCTGGTGTTTGCTGCCATCTCATGGACTTTGAACAGCATTGCAGTGGATTTCTGCAAGAACTGCCTCGAAAGTGACCTTACTTTTTAAGTGGCTGTGCTACTGTCATGTTAAGCAAACACATTGCTGAATTCTGAAAAGATTTCTTAGAATTACTGCTACACAATATGAAACCTTACGGCATAGCCCAAAACATGAAAGGCAAGAAGATAGTGCAGAAAATCTGACTGAAACCTCAGTAAGAAAATATTTATGTCACCTAGAACGTCAGCAAATTCACAGATGCTTTGAGATGAAACCCAGTAAAGTAATGAAGGTGATTAGCGACTACTGAAAGCACACAGCCAGAACAATTTAGTAAAATATATTAGGCTACTGTACATACATAGCTACATAACCATCTTGAGGAAGGTGACTGTCCCTACTTCCACCTAGCAAGCTAGAGGTGTTAAGTTACTGTTTCTGAAAAATGACATCAAGGCATAGTTTTCCATAGCTGTAGCATGATGAGTGTTCATACTTTCAGGCTGCTCACCTGCACTCAGTCCATCACTTGGGAGCACTGAACTGGTGGCAATGAGAGGTCTGCTTTGGTGACACTGTAACAAACCCCGGGCATTTAATGAACTCACAGAGATTTTGCCAATGCCACCAAGCTGTGTGGTGTGTTTGACACACTGGAGGGAAGAGATGTCATCCAGAGAGACCTGGACAGGCTGGAGAGGTGGGACAGTGCAAACATCATGAAGTTCAACAAGGCCAAGTGCAAGGTCTTACACCAGGGTCAGAGCAACCCGAGGCACAGCTACAGGCTGGGCAGAGACTGTATTGAGAGCAGCTGTGAGGAGAAGGACTTGGGGGTGTTGGTTGGTTGGTGAGAAAATGAACATGACCCTGTAGTGTGCGCTTGAGCCCAGAAACCAACCATGTGCTGGGTTGCATCAAAAGGAGCGTGACCAGCAGGTTGAGGGAGGTGATCCTGCCCCTCTGCTCTGCTCTTGTGAGACCCCACCTGCAGTGCTGCATCCAGCTCTGGGGCCCCCAACACAAGAGGGATGAGGACCTGCTTGAGTGAGTCTAGAGGAGGCCACAAAAGTGATCCAAGGGCTGGAGCACCTCTGCTGTGAAGACAGGCTGAGAGAGTTGGGCTTGTTCAGCCTGGAGAAGAGAAGGCTCAGGAGAGACCTTGGAGCAGCTTCCAGTGCCTAAAGGGGACCTAGGAGAAATCTGGAGAGGGACTTCTCATAAGAGTAAGCAGTGACAGGACAAGGGAGAATAGTCTTAAACTGAAAGAGAGGAGATTTAGATTAGACATTAGGAAGAAATTCTTCATTATGAGGGTGCTGAAGTGCTGGCACAGGTTGCCCCGAGAAGCCATGGCTGCCCCATCCCTGGCAGTGTTCAAGGCCAGGATGGATGGAGCTTGGAGCAACCTGGTCTAGTGGAAGGTGTCCCTGCCTGTGGCAGGGGGTTGGAACTGGATGATCTCTAATGTCTCTTCCAACCCAGACCATTCTGTGACACTGTGGGTTTATGACTTGTAAGCTGAAAGACCAGATGGGGAGAGGGGTTGACTCAGTACTTAGAAGTGTCACTAATATACTTTCTCTTCAACAAGTACTCAGCATGAGTGCTAGAGATCATACTAAAAAACAATTAAGTCATCAATCTTCTGTGTTTCATAATTGGATCAACGAATAGGGAAAAACCTGAATGAGGAACTGCATTCTACCACACTCTTTTCCCGTAAGTGTTAAATAAACATCTTCTTCACCACCCAAAAGGCTTGAAGAAGAAGGCAAACTACTCCCTCAGCTTCTTATACGTGTATCAGTGAAACAATCCCTTTCTTTAGGCAGACGAGGATGACTCATTTTAGAAACCGCTGGACATTATGGTGCCGTACAGTGATATTTGAAGATAGAGTTGCACTTTTCTTGGGACTGTAGGTAGAGCACACAGAGTACTCGTAAACTAGTCTCTTTTAAAGCATAGTGCTGCGTCCAAATGACAAACAAGAAAGTCTCTGAGCACAGAAAAGTTACAGCATTAGATATGTGCCTTAAAAAACTTAATAAAATAAATCCTTTATTTTCCATTAGTCCTGAAAAAAAGTCTTTGGCACTCAAAGATCGATTAAGTGTAAAGTAAGACATAACATAATCGGCATGCTTCAAGCAGTACCTGTGAGAAAGACCCGTCCTTTGTAATTTGGTCTATTTTCACCGTTTCGGGGAACGCACCCGCACCCTCCGGGCCGGCAGGTAACGCACCTCGGGCTGGCCCCGCCCGGCGCCGCGCCAGGTGACCACCCTCCGGCTACGAGCACCCCCACGTGACCACTCCGCGAGTCGCGGCCTCGCCCGCAGCGCCGCGCTCCTCACGGAGGCAGCGGCGGCCCCGCCCTCCCGTGGCACGTGACGCAGGCGCCGCTTCTCTTCACGTGCTCTCCGCCTACCCGATCCCCCTCCCCCCAGCCACCAACCCGGCCGCGCGCATGCGCAGGCAGCAGCTGTCATCCGCACGCAGAGCGGGGCGTCTCAGCGGCGCGGCGGGGAAAGGCAGGCGGGACCGGGACCGGGACCGGGACCGGGGACGGGGACGGGGACCCGCCGGTGGCAGCGGCGCGGGAGAGCCGAGCTCAGCGCACTGCCGCCGTTCCCCCCCTCCTCCTCGCCTTCCCTCTGCCTGCGGTCGCCCCATTAACCCTCTCCCGGACAGGTGCAGAGCGAGCTCAGAGAGGCAGCACGCTTGCGGGAGGGAGGAGGCGTGGGGAAGCCTGCCAGATCGGAGCGGGGGTGCGGGGTGTGTATGGGCGGGGGGCCAGCGGGAAAGCCGGGGCGGGGGGGGTGATGGCGGCGAGGTGGGTCACTGTGAGTCAGGGGGTTCGGCGTCGGTTCGGTCGGAGCGCGGCGGGTCCCGGCAGCGGGGCAGTGTCTTGCCGGCTGTCGCGCCGAGGCGGGCCGCAGCGGTCAGGTGCGAGGGCGGAGCGGCCGCTGTGTCGCCGGACAGCCCCCGCTGGGGTGCATGAGGGGTCGGGACTTTCCGCAGACGGGAGGGAATCGGTGCGGGGACTGCGCGTTGCGGGAGAGGGGATGGCGGCTTGGACGGGGCTGAGGAAACGAAACTGGCAGGTGTCGGAAAACCGCGTCTCGTATTGCCGCCTGTGGGCAGCGATGCTGGGGCGGGGCGGGCGGGGGAAAGCTCTCCGACGGATCAGGCAGCTGCCCCAGGTGCTCGAAGTGGGTGGGCAGAGCGAAATACGGTGTTACTTCTCTCTGTGTCTTTGTGGGCTGTGATGAAATCCTGTGGACTTTCCAAACAACCTCTCTCTCTTACAAAATACAGCCGCGGTGATACAGCTCCGTCGTTTCTTCTTGTCTTTAAGGTGTTCCTCAAGTTAACGGTGTAAAGTGTTATGAAAAGACTTTAAAGCTGTCATCTGAGTAGCACACTTCCCAAGCGCTGGTACCACACCTGTCTGATTGTGGTTATAGTGTTCCACACTTTCGGAGCTAGTTTCAAGATTAGGGCGTCTTACCATGTTACGGGAGCCTTCTCTGTACATGAGTCTTCTCTCTTCTGCGCTGGATTTTAACTGCCAATCTGAAATGAGAAGTGTATACAAAATACCTTTTTTTTTTAATTCTTCCCCCCCCCCCCCCCCCGGGTTAACTGTGTTAGGAAAAATGCTGGTGTCAGTATTTTTCGAGGATCTGTACCAGCTTATACTACTTATATAAAGCTTATACTTTATTTTCTTTATTATTAAACTGCAGCTGTATAATTCTTTGCAGTCTTTTCTGAGATAGCAACAGCAGCAATAGAAGTTATTTGGTGGCTATTAAATCAGAGGTTTTTAAACTGAAATGCTTCTTACAAGAAAGAAACTGCCTGGCACCCCAGTGCAGGCTATTTTTTTTTTGTCACTGTACTGTGGGATTTTTTTTTTGTTTGTTTGTTTTGTTCACATTTTTAATGATTCAGGCATGTGAAAATGACCATGGTATAAAATTTGTCTTGGGCTTTCCCCTTATTTTTACTTGACCTGTGATAACTAGCAGATGGTACTACTTCACAGAAGTACCTTCCAAACACAAGACAACATAAAATACAGGCATGATTTCCTTTTCAGTAGTCGAAATGAGAGTAAACTGAGCTACTGCTAGTCACGCGTATCTTCCTATCAGCTTCGGTTTGGAGTATTGTTATTGACTGCTGGCAACTGATGATTTTCTTTCAGCTCGCTGCAGATAGGGATGTATATGAGAGCAGTTTCCTTTCTAGGGACTAGCCCAGGCACAATGTTTCATTCAAAGACGTGGGTATGATTAAATAGCCTCCTCCTCCCCCCCCCCCCCCTTTTATTTTTTAAGTGGTAAATATGATGAAATAGTCTAGTCCTGTAATTCTTAGTCCTAAATTTCCGATGTGTATTGAGTACAGAATTTTGCATCTCTTGGTCTGATTTCTAAACAAATCAGGTAAACAGTTCTGCACCAAATCTAAATGCACAGTTGCCACAGTTAATTAAAATTAGAATTATTAGAAATTAGAAAATTAGATTAAAATCAGAAAATTATGTTGTCAAGTGCTAACTATTGGAATCTTTCTAAGATTATGAGCAAGCACAGTATTAATAATAAAAAAAATGGTGATGTCATACCTATTGAAAATTACTGGATTAAGTAGATTTAGAACTTCCTAAGTTTCAACAGCTCTCAATTGGTCTATTCAATACTGCAGTTGATTCACTTGAAGATCTTCAGTTTTTTCTGTAGGTGTCTTTTGCTGGGATATGTTTCGTCAGCATGGTGTTGAGCAGAATGTGAATGGGGTATATGCTGGTGTCAGTTTTGGTCAAGTTTGTTTCATGAAGGCGGTATTTTTATCCTACTATCCTCAACATAAAAAAACCCCAACTAATACACTTTGGAATACATTTTTAGTATACACAGAGCTTCAAAGAGACTGTGTTTTACTGTAATTCTGCTAATACAAGGTATTTTCAAGTTCTTTGAATCATCACATGAATGGTTCAAAAGACGGTGTTCTGACATGCCAAGATGTTAATACTTATCTAGTAAGAAATCTCAATAGTAATTTGATAGCTTAGTATTTCATATCTCAAAATGAACAAGTGATGTGTTCTTTTCTTGATTTTCATTTAGAGTCATAGACTGACTCATAAGGTATTTTGAAGAAATGCATTATTTTGTACTTGAAAGGTAGTAATCTTTTTGTAATCAAATCACATAATGCAGGTGTTCGTAATAATTTGCTGATAAGAAGTCCAGAGTGGGTTATAAAGCCTACAGTAGTTTTAGTATATGCAGAGTTAGGCTGTACTTCAGGTTTTGTTTAGGTGACGTCGTATATCATAATTCATTCTGCTGTAGGCTTGCATTTTGCTCCAACTTTATTTCATATCTTGAAAATTGTGGAATTTTGCATAGTGGGTAAGATGTTAACATGAATAGTCCGACTACTGAGTTATGCAAGCACTCATTTTTATCCTGAATTTTGTTTACTGTCCCACAAATGTTAGATGTATGCTTGGGACAGTATATTTAGGACAGCATACCCTAAAAACTGAGGACAATATACAGAAGTAACAGATTTGAAAAAAATGTCAAGTTTTTTAAGGTGTAGGAATTACAGGAGTTAAAATTCAAACCACATCTTCTTGTGAATACTGAATATTGAAAAAAATTTCAACGTTGGTTTCACTTTCTGATTCTCAGACATGACAGGATAATTCACTGACTGTTACAGATACTGTAGAGTTTCACAAATAAAATATGTTCCAGTTCCTTTGTGACATATCTGCCTCTAAAATGTGGAATCACGCGATTGAGGCTGTTGTGATTTAGCTTAGTAGACTTATGGAATTCTGCTGGGTTTTGTCTAATAAAATTAAATCGCTAGTTAGTAGCGGGTTGCTTGTCTCTAAGAAGACCTAGATAACTTGCTATTCATAATAGATGCTTTATCACAAAAAGGACAGTGCTGGGTCAGGTCTTGTTTCATTTTCACAGTTTATTTCTTTGCTTAAAACAATTTTTAAGTTGCTAAACTGGTAAATGAACCTATGCTTTTGAGCTTTATAAATCATAAATGTTTTGGAAAAAAAAGGACAATTTTGATTTAAAACTAAAATTAACATTGCAGATGTATGTAGAAGTCTGTAAGCTTCTCTAAAGTTTACAGACTTTTACAGAAGTTAATATGATCAATAACCTGTATAACAGATTTGGAATTCCTGGGAAATGGAATCTTTTTCAAAGCCAGATACATAAACTAGGTAGGCATAATTTGCATGTACATTTTCTATTAGTAAAGGAACAATTCAAACATAAGTATGCAAAACCAAATTACATTAAGAATTAACTATTTGCATGCTCTGGAATAGTTGGACCTGCAAACTATGCTTTTATGATTCCAGTTAAGTGAAAGTAATTCATGCAGCTAGTTATTGACTGTGCACTCTTGCAGTATCTTGTATCTTTGGATTTGCTTTGCAAATGATGTTGGGAGTTGGATAGTACTTACTTACAGGTTGTGCTAAAAACTCTTTAAAAATTATTCAGGAAAATGCAGAAGTGAATCTGCCTGTATATGTGGTAAAAATAAGATGAGCTTAAGGAGTTTTTGTTTATGTTGTAAATTAAATTGCTGTTTAGAGTATTGCAGAGTAAGACATATTTATCTGCAGTTTGTTTCCTTTCCATATCTTGAAGAGCTGGTTGTACAAATGCCTTTTTTTTTTTTTCCCCCTTTCCCCAAAGCAAACTCTGCAAATAAGGGTTAGGGGAAATAAAGTTTTGCTCAAGTTTTGCCAATAAACTGTTTTTTATTGAGTGATTCCTTAAAAAATGGTGGCTAGTACTTCATAATGTGATTGCTGTGTCTTGTTTTTTTCAAATTGGAAATGCGTATCTGAAAACGTCTTTAAATTACATTATTTTGTGCTTTCTTTCAGATCAGCCTCATGCTGTGGCTTTTTGTGCATGCCTTTCTCTGAAGTTTAGTTTCCTATTGTTATTTGAACAATTTTTTTCAGGATGAATTAATTCTTCCTCAGATGTTTATTGTCCCATAGTGTGGGTAAAAAATTCAAGAAAAGGAAAGGGCAAATTGTGTGTTTGAACTGACTTACCTGCGAGAAGTGGTGACTTTCCTAGATTTGTTCTTTTTTTCTTCCCATCTTCCTTCTTTTTCTCATTTACTGGAACTTGCTTTATGTAATTTGTTTAATTTGTGTTGTTGGGAAAAGGTTGTGGATATTGCTATTTTTTAATAGTTATTTAGCACTTTTCCATGTTAGCTTACAATTTTGTGTACAGCAAAGCAGAGGTAGTGTGTCATGGTTTAACCCTAGCTGGCAACTAAGTACCATGCAGCTGCTTCCTTCCCGCTGCCCCTCCCTGCTCAGTGGCATGAGGAGGATAACTGGAAAAAGGTAACACCTGCAGGTTGAGATAAGAATATTTTGATAATGAAATGCAGTAAGATACAATAGTAACAATAATAATAATAGGAATAAAAGGAGAGAAAGGAGGGAGAAATAAAACTCAAGAAATAGAAGTGATGCAGACTGCAATTGCTCACCACTCCACTGACCGATGCCCATCCCATCCCTGAGCAGCAATTGGTGGCTCCCAGCCAGGTTCGCCTAGTACTGGGCAGGATGTTCTGTGGTACGGAATACTCCTTTGGCT